TCTCTAATTGGATGGCGTTTTGGACCAGATTTCTGTGTGTGATATCTCACAACCTTTTTGCACAGAGAACAGGAAGTACATTTGTCGCTAAATTCAAATAAGCTAATTATTTCAGAATGTCCACTTTCCGTGACATTTTTGTTAAGTGCACTGCCTAGAGATTTGTCTGATATAAAACATGTCCCTTGTTGGTTAGGCCAAGGTACCTTGTGAAGGTCGTTGTCGTGCTCCAACCGCTCCGTCATCTCATGCTGAAGGTCCATACTGATTTGCTCTGGAGTACACTGCAACAAACAGGAAGCGACATTATGGATCGAATCTGTGACAACAACCAGACAGCGTTTCTTCTAATATCCTACTGTAACGCGCTCAGTCCGCAATCATGAAAACAAATGCAAGGCGTATACATTTTCTCATGGATAGCGAATAAATCCTGCAATGATGCTCACGTCCAACGAATATTGTTAGTTGCACAAGGACATTAAGCTGTATGTCATAGCCATCAAATACAAGTTCCAAAGTTTTCCTTGAAGCATTTTGAGCATATATTTGTGTCACACTCATTTTTATTCACAATTCAGAGCACGAGTTCGATGTCAAATAAGTGGGGTGAATTCTCTTATTACTACATGGACCTGACGTAGGACATGGAGGGTACCGAATCAACACTCAGCCGGCGGCTCACTCACAAAGGCCAGCGGCCCCTCGTCGATGTTGCTGCTGGTCCAGGGATTCCAGTTGACCTGTGGGGGCGACCACGGAACCACGCCCGCGCCAGTCTGCCGCTGAGACGGCTCAAACGCTGCCATCTTGGCTGGGACCAACGACACAGACTCGCCGGGGTTTGCGGGCTGGACAGGAAGTGGTCATTAGTAGCGCATAGAGGAAGATCGCCTATGGGGGGGGGGGGTTCCAGGTGACTCACAGGTGGAGGGATTTGTACTCCAAACTCCTCGACGACGACGCTGAGCTGCTGTTGGAGGTCAGGAGACACCGGCACATCAAAGACTTCCAGCTAGAGATGGAAACAACACACACCACACACGCACAAGGTCAGAGTAGGAGTGGTTAAATGAAGTCTCTAGTTCCAAATTGAAAAGTTGTCAAGATCAGCTGTCCTTTTTTAAACTAGCCGCAGTCACTTTGTAGACATGCAAGAGTAACCACTGCAAATCAGCGTGGACATAAATAGTCATACGAATTTTTAGTTTTTTTCGAAATTGTATTTCAAACTAAACGGCAACAAATGGAGCACTTTCTGCCCATGAAAGGCCCCGGCAGCCCTTGATAAGTGGCGACTGTGTGTCGGCGTACACTTTCTCCGTCCTTCTTCTTGGTGACTCCTGAGTAGGCCTCGAAAATGCCCAAGTGGTACAGCTGGCGCACCAGAGACAAGGCGCACGACTGGGCCGCCAGCTTCTTGTTGGAGCCGTGCTCACGCGCAGTCACGCCTGCGGGAAGCGCACACACATGTCACTGCCCAGCCTTGCCGTTTAAACGAAGAACACTTCAACACACAGCCCAAGGGAGAGTGTGAGGTCTTACGGCGGCCAAGTTGTCGGACGAACAGCTGCATCTCGGCAATGAAGCTCCTGCACGCACATGCGCAAACATTAATTTGAGTGTCATCTGCCACACAAGCTGTCAGACAACTCACCTGACTGTGTTTACTTTTGTGTGTTTTTCTGCCGGACTTGAGCTTTAAAGGGAAGGCCTGTCGGGGGAATGGCCTGTCCAGGGACGGGAGGAATGAGGGGGCGGGGGTGGCCGGCGGACTCAGCGTCATCAGAACAGATCTCAAAACGCCACCAGAACGCTTTAGCACTTCTAAAGCCATTCTCGTGTCTTCCCTTATGGTTCTGATGACGCCGGGCCGCTGACATCCATGGCCTCACAGCCGTCCAGCAGAAAAACACACGCTCGCTAGAGAGGTCAAAGGTCACCAGAAGCGGACGAGTAGCAACGCTGGAACGGTGGATCAGAACTGGGGCCGGTCTACCGTGGTTCTTAAAGAACTTCAGTGAGAACGCGAAGGACCACGTGAGGCCCCAAAGATGTTTTCAGAGTGCGGATGCTACTCGTCCGTCTGGACTTTGCGCTCAGAGGTTCCACTGCAGACCTGTTGTGGTCCGGCCCCACTTGGCTGTATTTATAGTCGGCGCTGGTCTTCTCCTTCTGGAAGAACTGGTTGAGACGGGCTTTGGCGTTCTCTAGAGTCCAGTTGCCATGAAGACTGGCATTCAGGTCCACCTCCTCTGACTCCAGAGTCTGCGGGCGACAAAGAAGCCGAGCAGACAACTCAGCTAGTCTTGTTGCTGTCACAGTGGAGCAAGTGAGTGTCACCCTACTGCCTGAGCTTCCTGTTCATTCTGCCTGGCGTAGTACTCCTTAAGGTTGGCGCCGCGCTCCCAATCAGCTCCAGGTGCAGGTCCAGGTCCTCCACTGCCACCAGAGAAGCCCCCTCCAGGTATCCCTGAAGCTGAACCGGCCTCTATCTCCTCTGCAGCACACACACAAAACGACTACTCGGGCTGGCTCCTACGGTGGAACAGCCTTCAAAGAATATTTGCTTGCAACTTTTGTGAGTAGTAGAGGTGCAACAATTAATCAAACACTATTTTGATAATCAATTCCTGGTTTAGGGCCGTTGAAATCAATGTAAACATCCTCGGACTTGCATCATCACTTTGAAAGCAGACTGAATTTCTTTGTGTTCTTTCAAAATAAGACATTTGGAAACATCTGCCTTGACCTCGGAAATCTACGATCAACATTTTTGCCGATTTGATGACGGTTGTTAAAACGTCAGTTTATGAGTTGTTACTCTAACATTAAATTTGAATAAAATGTAGGCAATGTTTGGTTTTTTTCTGAACGTCATTTGATTCAAATGACAAAGGCACAACATGATGCCATGATCATTATTACCTTGTTCCGCCTTTACCACCAGGTGAGGAGGCAGTGGCCCACCGGACGGCAGGTTTCCAAACAAGGCCTTGGCTCCTACGTCGGCCTGATCGCTGCCTGGCATGTCCACGTGCCTGGCCATGCCCACCTGCCCGGAGAAAAACACCCATTTACATACAAAATATGAACTTTTTATGGGCCGCCACGTGACTCACCCCAAGGGCCGGCACCTCGGCGGCACTCATTTCTCCCATTCGAACCAGAAAGTTGACAAAGTCCCGAGCGGCGTTGGACTGAGCATCCTTCTTGTTGGTGGAGTTGCCCATCCCGGTGTAGTTGAAGCCGTCCACACGCACCTGCGGCAGATGCAAACGCCACATATGAGTAGAGCATGCGCTGAGGATAGAGTCTGTCCTGGTTTGAGTGTGTGTGTCAGCAACATCCGTCTGTAGATGAACACACCTCGCACATGAATCGGTTTTTGGTACCAGCGGCTCGGATGTCATAGTTGGGGGTTAACTTTTTTTTGCCACACCAGGCATAAAGGAAGTTCTTGATGTCCGCCATGGCAAACCGGAGCGAGCGTCCTCTCCTCGCGCAGCAACACTGCCCAAGCACAAAACAAACAACGACTTTATTTTCATCACTTTGTGTTGAAGTGAAAGGTTGTACAACACCATAACAAAGATGACAATTCAAATTGCATTACTATTAGAAGCCTTATGCTCCTTCATTGCAGATCCTAAAAATATCGATTAAACACACAATAATAGTCGGAAAAATATAACTGTCGATGGGAAGCTTTGGTGCGACTGGCGACCGCCTTGGGTCAAAACATACCTCTCAACGGGGGAGTGAGCGTCCTACGAAATTGGATGCTAATGTACTGACCAAGTGCACCAAACAGATATAAGGGACAATAACTACGGTAAACAGGAAAGAATGACAATATCCGCTCAGGCAATTTAGCGCCACCTAATGCGTCCATTGGTCGCAGCAGCACTTGAACCACAAAATGGACACCACAGATATAAATGGCAATGCCACTCATGGACGCACACTGGAAAATGCACAAAATTCTTTAAAAAAAACAAAACTTTCGACGTGTCGTACATCTCTTGACAGTGCGCCACAAGAATTGCTTCACAACCTGCTCGTCGCGCGGGTCACTCTGTCTCTTCTTGCTCGAACACCAAGCTAGCATCTTGGCTATCTTTGCTATTGTATTTCATTTGATAGTTTTAGCTGCGACCATAAGATATCCAAACATGTCCTGCTCTCACCCATTTCCACACATTTGGCATGCAATTCCTGAATTGAATTGATGCGCTTCGAACGACTTCAATGAATGAGCTCAAACAAAAGAATTATAGCGGGTTAGTCCCTTTGCAGATCGCCTGCCCCGCGCGACTCTTTGCTGCGTGTCGCGTCTACTTTCCATCGTTGAACGTCACGGGCGAGCTGGAGCTTGTTTCCAAAGGGTTTATCACTCACGTTTAGTGCTGCTCCTGCGCGTAAAGATCAAATGTGGAGCAGGTGAGTATTGTCGACTAAGCTCATTCGGTCTCTCTTGATGCTGCTGATGCTCTCGTCTTCTTCGGCTTTGTCTTGATTTCACGGGTATGTTTCGTGCATTGCTGCCATCTACTGGTTGGGTGCTCATGATGATGATCACCCATACGTCAGAGGCCAACTGTCTAATGGTGCAGTGCTCAAAAATTAAAAATAAAATAAAAATAAAATTTAAAAAAAAGTGCTCAAACATTTTACACCAAGAAACACCTAAAAAAATGCATGATACCCAAAGAGCCACCATAATAACAAACATTCAAATATCTTAGCACAGCGGCCCCCCAGGTCGATCAAAAACAAAGCCAAAGTTTTTTTTCTCCTGTAAAATGTGTTGCATATTTTTGTTAGCCACTGTAATATGATGCAGTTTGACCAATGACTTCTAGAATGTAAAAAAAATAAAATAAATAACTGTACTTAAGTAATGATTTAGTTCAAATGAATTGCACATAAAAAAAAATTCCACCTAAATAAACATTTGAAAACGTTTCTAAATGATTAAAGGGCTAGCCCCAGTAGGTTGTGCACTCCGCTGCTTCTTTCAGCCGCGTATGCTGGCCACTGCAATAGATAGTTATCAATCACGCAATGGGTATTTGTTTGTCTGCCATGTTGGAGGTTCAGATTGGGGCTGGAGATGGGAATACCAGTACACTTGTGCATTCTTGTTTCTTGTCTTTGTTCAATGTGCTTGTGTTCAAATTCACGATGCTAACCTTTTCATGCTTCTTGCTGTTTTTAGTGGCAGGTGGCTTTCTTGGTTTGTGCAGCAGCACACCCTGGTGTTGTGGAGGAAAAGTTGACACAGATGTGACAGAATCCTCTGTACGATTCACCTGCTCGTCAAGGTGAGCTCTTCCCCCTCTTCACGTGGTCTCCATAGCGATGAGAAACATGATCCTACTGCTGGACACCTGAGTCCACCAACTGAATGTTTCATGGACTCACACGCTACCACAAGCAGGACCAGGAGACACCATCAGAACCTGAACCGGGCACACAGGTATCACTCTTCTCTCCTGATCGCTTGGCTTTTCTTTTCATCCTCGCTTCTGTTCTGCTCAGTCCTCTTCACTTTGAGTCTCTTGTCTTGTCTTCTATTTTCTTCTCATCCTCTTGTCCCCTGCACACTTGTTTTGTCTTTTCCTCACATCTCCTTTCTCGTTCTTTTCAGTTCTCTCCCATTCGCTTGTCTTCTTTTCTCCTTTCTTGTCTTCTGTTCTCCTGTCTTCTTCTCTTCTCTCATGTTGTCTTGTCTTTTCTGACTATACGAGTGTTTTGTGGCGGTCAGGTGATGGTGTCAGGATGTCGGATGGCAGGCAGAGAGCCATGTCGGCATCGGGCGAGTCTCTGTACGCGCTCCTGGGTCTGGAACCGGGATGCAGCCACGATGACGTAAGGAAGTCGTATAGGTGAGAGCCACGCCCACTCCGGTGGTTATGCTGCATGTGAGGCCGGTGTGTGTGTCTGTATTTGTGTCACCCGCTGTGTGTCCGCATGTGCTTGCATTGACAGGAAGCTAGCGCTCCGTTACCATCCGGACAAGAACCCAGACAACCCCGAGGCAGCGGAGAAGTTCAAGGAGGTGAACGCGGCTCACGCCGTCCTGTCCGACCACGGCAAGAGGAACATCTACGATGCTTACGGTTCCCTGGGGCTCTATGTGGCTCAGCAGTTCGGAGAAGACAATGTCAATGCCTACTTCATGCTCACCACCTGGTGGGCCAAAGTCAGTCGGGGCTGCCGCGGGGAGCCATCTTGCCGCTGACGCTACTGGGAGTGACGGCGTGGCCGTGTGGTGTTTGTCCAGGGTTTGTTTGTACTCTGCGGGATCCTGACTGGATTTTATTGCTGCTGCTGTTTGTGCTGCTGCTGCGACTGCTGCTGCGGGCGCCTCAAGACCACGCCCCCCGGTGATGAGGAGGTGGAGACACCCTATGGCAACCTCCAGGAGGAGGAGGAGGAGCTACAACATCTGCCCAATGGTGAGAAGTTAGTTCACTCTGTAAATCAGCCAAACATCCGGTCTTAAATTCCTGCATTTATCCATCCCCCCCCCATCCATCCTTTTTAATCATGCATTCGTCCATATTCATCATTTGTTTATCCATGCATCCCTCCATCCACACACACACACACACACACACACACACACACACACACACACGCACACACACACACGGGTACCGTTATGACTTGCCGTGTCATCTCAAAGCAGAAGTGGTTTTTCACCCATTGGCTCGTTTGTGTGCGCAGACGTGAATGCACCTGTCGTTCAGCAGCCGACCAATGCTAGCGAGAAAACGCAACTCATCTCAGACGGACGCCGCAGATATGGAGACACCTACACATGATTAATGTCATCAACATGTCTGTCACCATGATGACTGTCACCAACTCAGCTTCTTCATCTATGTTGGGAATCCCGTATTTACTGGCCTTTATAGAAATTTGGCCGATTTATAAGCGAATGGTGGACCTGGATAGGTCTTCTACGTTTTCACTGATGGTCGTTAGGGAATAGGGAATGGGTAAATTATTCCTTTATTTATTTTTCCGGACTCCCCCAACACTATTCACAGTGATTTTCAGTGGATTAACTATCTCAGTCCACCATCTTAGAATTCCGTAATTGTGCTTAGCGAGTCGGAAATGAGTCAACAATTCCCAACCCAGCCTTTAAGGTTTTTTTTTTCCCCTTTTGCTCAGGAGACTTCGGTTTCAATGTATTCAATAAAGCTGTTGAAGAAATAAAATATGTAGACTGTGCGAGTAAACAACAGGGGTCACGCTCCTGTGGTCACACTGTGAAAGCCATAAAAAATAAGACATGGTGTGCCTGGGCGCCATCTTGTCAGCCTGCTTGACCTCATGTCACCTTGCAACACAAAACAATTTCTCTGTTCCAAAATAGACCATATGGAAGGGGTACTTTCCACAGAAACCTCACAATGGATACATCTCCAGTTAGTCTGAGATGATCATCAACTGCATGGGCCCAGGCTGTCAGAATATTTTTATTCACTGACCTTTTCAAAAAAACGCCGCTTTCATGTTATGCTGGATTTAGTTGTGTATATGCTATGGCAGTATATGCTAGATTTAGTTGAATCCTGATGGGATCAATATTGGGTTTACCGACCCACCCCCGAACATGTCCTCTTTCTGGTTTGTTTGGGGACCCATTCATCCATTCACCTTGACCGGGACGAGATCAACAGCCTGCAGCCACACAGAGCAAACCATTCGGACAAAAAAGGTACTGTACTTGAAAAGGATAAAAATCGATCAAGTCTAATTCAGACTGAATTAGACTTGATCGATAATGCAAGGCGATTTCAAGATTGGAGACCCTGGAGAAACAACACGGCGTCCATAAACGATGTGTCTTGGATTCAAGTGATCGCACAGCAGTGTGCTAAGCACGAATGGGGAGCAGACTTTGGGGTTCGACAGCTTTGCACAGTTCAGCAGCAGCCCCTCCCTCTCTCTCTCGCACTCTCTCTCTCTCTCACACACACACACACACACACACACACACACACACACACACACACACACACACACACTATGCTCTGTCATGCCTCCCGTGACTTTGGACATATATGGGCATGTCGGCATGGCAACAGTGCTTGCATGTGCGCGTGCGTGTGTCTAAAAACAGACTCAAATGTGACACACTCTTCTTCTTGCTTGACTCCTTCATTGTCCTCCACAGCGTCCCTGGTCTCCACAGTTCCGTGGTCTTCGCAAGGTACTGATCCCAACGGCGTCCTGACCTCCACAGTGCCTCGTCGCCACAGTGTCCTGGCGTCTACAGAGTCCTGTTAGTCGACAGTGGTCTAGTATTTGGCAAGGTCCTGGCGTGGGAGGGTGGGGGGCCATGGAGAGTCTGGAGAAGCAACTGATCTGTCCCATCTGCTTGGAGATGTTTTCCAAGCCCGTGGTCATCCTACCATGTCAACACAATCTGTGTCGCAAGTGTGCCAGTGACGTCTTCCAGGTGCGTGACATGCAATGGACACAGTTGTCCTGTTTGGCTGAAAAGTAAACAATGGCACATGTTAGCGTTTGAGCAGTAGTGTAGTGGTTCACGTAGCACAATTTATTGATAGCTGATAAGTCGATTAGTATATTTTCATTAATGGTGGACGGTCAGGGGCAGCCTGGCCTTCTTAGTTGGCCGCATAGACATGTAGAACCCGATCCTAATATTTGTTTGATGAAACTGTAGCTCCGCTCCTGAGGATGTCAAGACAATGAATAAACGAGAGTGATGATGATGGTTGTCACTACTCATGAAATCTCCTAACCTCCACTGGTCCCCCTCACAGGCAGCCAACCCCTACCTGACCTCCAGGGTTGGCTCCACAGCTTCATCTGGCGGTCGCTTTCGCTGCCCGTCGTGCCGCCACGAGGTTCTTCTGGATCGCCACGGCGTCTATGGACTGCAGAGAAACCTGCTGGTGGAGAACATCATTGATATGTACAAACAAGGAAGCGGCAGGTCCGGACAAACACAACCACACAAATGCACATTTGTTGGATATAAGGGGGACCCCTGGCCTCCAAAAGTTATTCACACCGTCACATATGTCAGCAAGGCGGCGTCACTTCCTGCCGTGGCGGAGGAGCATCCCGTGTGCGAGCATCACGAGAAGGAGAAGATCAACATCTATTGCCTGAGCTGCGGCGTGCCCACCTGTTCCCTCTGCAAAGTTTTCGGCACTCACAAAGACTGCCAGGTGGCGCAACTCGACGTCGTCTTCTCCAAACAGAAGGTACAGAGGTCCCGTCAACTCTGCCCGCCTCAACGGCAGATTCTGTTTTGCACTCACAGACGCATCTCATGAGATTCACATTCTGGTTCAGATGCAACAACGGTGGCATGATAACTTGAATTTAGCAACGTTATTTGCTAACTTTGTGGGTAATACTGCAAGTACACAATGTGAATTTCTTTTCCCAAACAACAAAGACGTCTGTACTGAACTATTTTTTTGTATTTTACTGATTTGGCCCTGATTTATCCAGGTAAGGCCAGTGAGGACCGATTCTCTTTTGTAATGCCGAACTGGCTGCAGAGAGCAAAGTAAAACCAATAGAAACAAAAGCAAATACAAATAAATAAATCATACAACAAACTGTATAATGAATGGCTTAGAAAATAGAAAATAAGAATACAATCTTAAAAGAATACCGATAAAAATATTTTATAATCGGAAGACATCCAAACTGGCATGATGCGGATGAAACCCATCCACGAGTCTCTAGCCTAGACAGAAATCTTCCCCATCGTGAGAGAGAAAAAGACTCATACACACAAATAGGAAATGGAAACATTCCGACTCAATGTCACTCACTAGGCCACTCCCCTTAGAGGACATCAACAAATGTACAGACAGTAATTACACTTCACAAGACCAGTTCATTCCTTGACATTCTCTTTTTGGAAGGTTGTAAACAGTAAGGTGATGAAAAATTAGTCATTCTTTGTGTGTTTGTCATCAGGCCGAGCTGAGCGAGAGCATCGCGCTGCTTGTGGGCGCCAACGAAAGGATTCAGGCCGTCATGGGGCAGTTGGACGACACGTGTCGTGCGGTGGATGTCAGTTCATGTCTTTGGCGCCGTACCTAACCCTTCATCAGCATTGCGATAAAGCGGAAGTCTCGGTCGGCCGTGTTTCTAGGAGAATGGTCGCAGACAAAAATCCAAGGTGTGCGAGTCGTTCGACCACCTCTTCGCCGTCCTGGAGGAGCGAAAAGGCGAGCTAAACGCCCGCATTGTCGCAGAGCAGCAGGAAAAACTGGACTACATCACGGGTCTCCGGAGGAAGTACGGTCAACATCTGGAGGACGCCGCCAAGCTCCTGGAGAACGCCATCAAGACCATGGACCACGGCGAGATGGCCGTCTTTCTGCAGGTCAGCCTCAAGACGCAATCGGAAGTTGGTCGGCTTTAGCCACCCCTTGCAAATCTTTGATTTTAATGGTCCCATACCATCAAACTGCAAATTTCCCAATTGTTTCTTGTATAACAATGCTCAAAATGAGCCCCTGACATTTTTTGAAAGTCATCCATACTCATTGTTGTTGTTTCCATGCAAAAGCATTGGAAAGGCAAAAGGTCACAACACGAGCCCGTTTAAATTCACCCTCGTTGTGTCGCACGTTCATCACTCATTATTAAAGTACGCAACGACAACACACCTGTAGCTTGTGTACAGCTGACACTTTGCAACAGCATCTTGGAGGAGTAGAGGAATAAACTGCTTCGACTAATTTAGGAAGAAGCCTCCAAAGCTTTTGCTGACCTGAATTGTGCTCTGTTCTGGGATTTCGTGGAAGACAATGAACATGTTAAGAAATCAATCAAAATGGAATTGTGGCATGGGACCTATAAATTATTTTTGTTAAGTCTTGTTGCAAAGACAATATTATTGTATTGGAAATTGATGGAAAATCATTCTTTTGCTTTTAGGACAGCAAGCCACTGCTGCAGAAGTGAGTCCCAGTCAACACGCTCATTTTCGGATGATGTTTTCGGGCGTCGTGCCGCTAAGATTGAGGTTGGTCGTCTGTGCAGGATTGCGGATGGCAGCGACACGTCGAAACTGGAAAAAGTCCAGTCGGGATATGAGAAGATGGAGCACTTTCGTGCGAACTTTGAGCGCCAGAAGAGGGCGCTGATGGCTGTTAATTTCATTAAAAGTAACATACTTGTCTTGAACACATTTGACACGAATTGCTGCTGCTAGTTTCTGCTTCAGCGTGTCAACAATTGTTAGCATGTGGAACAACAAACATTTGGCAACAATTTCCGCTGCCACAATGCATGTCATCATTCGTTAGCATGTCTCCAGGTGTTAACAGGTTAGCTGCGAGCTAACTGTCGATTAAAGTGCAAGCACACTCTCTCCTAGTGAATGGCGACGATGCCGGCTACAAAGAGGACAAAACTGCGGAGCTTAGCGGTTTGAACGTAAACGGAGCAATGCCGGTACCCTCTGCCAATCTTCACCATCCTGCTTCAAAGCTACTCTTTGAGGACCCGCCCCCTAAGAGCATAGACACCAAACCTCCACCAACAGACAAGCGGGCCCCGCCCCCTCCGGCCCCACCTGCCTCTAACCCCGCCCCAGAGGTATGACATCCTGCCCTGGATTGGTTGATTAGTCTCGTGGTCCTCATCCTCTCCCTGCTTTCCTTCTTGTGCGGTGCAGGCAGCTTCTGCTCGAGCCAACGACGCTGATGACGCAAACAAACACATTTTCTCCTTCAGCTGGCTCAACCACTAGGAACTTCTTTGTCTTCTTCTTCGACGTCATGCTCGTTCTGTCCCTTTTCCCCATCTGTGTAGCTTGTCATCAACATTGTTTGAAAGTGAAGATAATAAATATGACACTCGTGGGGAAAATCTTTGTGCTCTTATCTTTCAAGGCTCACAGAACATTGCGTTTTATGATTATTTTTTGTAAGTTTGCGCTTTCTTCTTTCACCACACAAAAATAAGGTACTTTCTACCTTTTTACATTTTATAATAATAGCTAGCATCGAAAGTAAAAAAACTGCTTTATTATCCCATCTCAAATCGCCAATACAAAGCGTGATCGTTTAAACATTGTCAACGGGAATACAAAAATGAGAACGTTTTTTTGTACAGTGTTTGCGTGTGTGTGATCGGAGAGTGGGTGTTATCGCTAAATACAAGAGTTGACTTTATTCAAGAGAAGTCCAAATGTTTATTCAAGGTCAAGGTTTATTTGTTTCAAATACTGTACACCAAACACTGACCAAAGTATTGTACATGTTAAAGATAACACTATGAAAAAAAAACAATAGAGAAAAAACATAAAAACAATAAGATGCAAATGTCCAGCTGAGCCTGTGTTTAATGACAGTGGATGCATATACTGTAAACGAATGTTCAGACAGGGGGAGCGAGGTCCGGTTTCTCTAGAGCCGTATCCTGTCAGTTTTACATGTTTTCAACCTCCAACACACCCAATTTAAATGAACAGGATCACTTTCAGGCTTCTTCACAGCTTGCAGATGAGCTGATCATTTGAATCAGGTGTGTTGCAGGAGGGACACGTCTAAAATAGGTAGGACAGCAGCCCTTGAGAACCGGAGCTGGACATCCCTGACTTAATTTGTATTTCCCCACTCCATTTCACTCATACAGGGTTTCAAAAACTTTGTTTGGAAGCCATCTATTTGTGGGTGATTCTGCTTCATCTATTCCAAAAGAAAACACCACATAATGTATCGTATTCCAGGTCTTTTGTCTTCATTAGCACATTATATACAGTATGTGGTTGTAGAAACGTTGCACTTGTAGTTGTCTGCATGGGATGCTGAAAGCCCTTTAGACATTTTCACATATTCTGTAACACTTGAAAATGTAAACACTTGTGGGAATGTATAGAAATGGTGTATATCATGTCGAGATTTTTGTTTCTTACCTTGTTAAATCATGTTGATAGCACGAACAACCACACATTAATTTAATTGATTATTAATATGAATCAAACTGGTCGCCCTTCTCATTGATCGGTACTCAATGAGATCTCAGTATTAAACTGTTTAGATACAGCGGATTTGACAATAAAGTTGTACTTGACTTTAATGACCCTGTGTGACGGTGTTTTGATGGACCAAGGAGCAACTTGGAAATAATCTCTCGTCTTTATTCTGTTTTGATCCTTGGTGATATCTGACTTTGTGTGGGGAAATTCTAATAGGTTCCTTTTTGTGCTATCGCCGAATTCAGTCTGTCAAGTTAAGAGCGTGGTGACGGAACATCTTTTTAGGCAGCTGTGGAGTTCCTCCACGCCGGCAGGGGGCGTTGAATACAGAGAGACGAAAGCCGTGGTGACATCCGAGGGGTTGATTTCACGCAACATTCTCGTCTACTTTCGCCTTGTCCACGGTTGTAGTTTGTACTTTGATACTTTGATGTGCCGGCGGCTCGGAGAGCGGAAGCCGGATAGGACAGCCCGGAGGCCGGAGAGCCGGGAGGCCAGCAGGCGGGCAGGGAGGCTGAGGCATGCAAGCGCAGGCAGCCGGTGGGTTTCCCCGCATCGGGGTGATGGCACTCGAATGCGGAGGTCCGAGGTCCCGGAGGTCCGAGGTCCCACTGGTCCTCGGGATGGCCGACGCTGTCATTGGGCTTACCGCACTGGAGCCTCCAAGCGAGCGGCCGTCAACGGGTGTCTTCGTCGCGCAAGCCCTGTCGGTCGGCGCTCGCCATGGGGCCCAAAAGTTGCCTTTTTGTTGAAATGAAAAGGAAACAAGTTCCAAAGTGCTGCGAGGGCCCTCGAGCGGGTATGGAGTCGGTAGCGCGCGCTGCCTTTCTCCGCCTCGTCTTCATGTTTGGCCGCGGAGGTCCTCCCCCTGCGGCGCTGGGCGGAGTTTCATCCCGGACCAGACGCTCCTTTTGTCGGATCGCTTTCGACCTGACTCCCCGGGGCTTCGGGCACAAAGAAAGGCCACTTTGGATGCGAACGCGGCCACTGAATCACCACGCAGTGTCGACGAGCGTGCAGAGTGGCCACCGGAACCGTGAGGTGAGTCCAAAGTGGACTTTTTGTCCACTCCGGAGCGTTTTGGGCCTGCTTGCTGCTAGGCGCCGTCTTGTCTTCTCTTCTCTTCATGGCGGCCTCTCGGTGAAGGCTTGTTGGCTCCAGCTTTGCCGCGCCTGGCGCCTCTCACTCAGCCGCCGCCTGCACCGACGCGACCGCAAGCGCTACCAGAACCGCAACCAGACGACATCTGAACGAAATATGAGCGATAGATAGACATTTTGCATATTTTTTTGTTCCTAATAAACGTGCCATCCCGCCTTTTCCCCTTCTTCTTCTTTCGTGGCACACGTGACTGGCTCCACATCGCGACCTTTTTTCATGTGCTCTTTTTGACCCGTTTCCCTCTCGGTTTGCTTCTTTCGGTGTGTCCAAACAAAGGTTCGGGCGGCTTGTGTTGGTGCCAGCCAGCGGAGGCTGAGTGCTGCTGACTCCTGCCGGAGAGCACGCGCCATTTCCGGCCGTCCCGCCACCTGACTACGTCATCATTCGTGGCCAACATGGACATATTTTCGTCCGTGTCCGAATGTGCAGACTATTTCCTCTTTAGCGCACTCTTTGATGTTACGCCATTTCGTAGGGGTGTCCAAATGTCCAAGAGAAGATAGATGTGGGGATCTCATAATTACCCACAATGCACTTGGAAAAGTGAGCATCTTTGGTCACTCAACAGGTTTATATAGACCACAATGCAATGCGAACAGGAAAACAACATAGTGCACGTGCCAATATCGAAGCGAGACAGTAACTGACCACGGAAATACTTTGATTTATTTAATTAAAAGAATATACAACAAAGGAAATATGACAGTAAAAAGTTTGTATTCACAATAAGTAGTCAGCGATCTCGATGCGCCACTCCGTCATGACAGGTATTGCCAATCAGAATGAGCGGTCTCCTAGGTGGAATGGCCACTTCAACTTGTGGCCCAAGCTAGTTCCTGAAATGTCCAGTCAAGATCCCTTGGTTTTAGAAGGGTAACGATAAGGGAATGAACAACTATTTTCTTTTAACAAATGTTCACTCAACATTTTTGTGTGTGTGTGTGTGTGTGGTCAAGTGGAGGAGGTGGAGTCATCTGTACCAGACGCTGTGCGATGAACGGCAGTGGCGGCGTCTCTGCGCCTCCGAGTGGCAGACTGAAGATCATCACAGGTAAGCAACTTCTCTCCTCTGCAGGGCGCCCTCTCGGTGAAGGCTTGTTGGCTCCAGCTTTGCCGCGCCTGGCGCCTCTCACTCAGCCGCCGCCTGCACCGACGCGACCGCAAGCGCTACCAGAACCGCAACCAGACGACATCTGAACGAAATATGAGCGATAGATAGACATTTTGCATATTTTTTTGTTCCTAATAAACGTGCCATCCCGCCTTTTCCCCTTCTTCTTCTTTCGTGGCACACGTGACTGGCTCCACATCGCGACCTTTTTTCATGTGCTCTTTTTGACCCGTTTCCCTCTCGGTTTGCTTCTTTCGGTGTGTCCAAACAAAGGTTCGGGCGGCTTGTGTTGGTGCCAGCCAGCGGAGGCTGAGTGCTGCTGACTCCTGCCGGAGAGCACGCGCCATTTCCGGCCGTCCCGCCACCTGACTACGTCATCATTCGTGGCCAACATGGACATATTTTCGTCCGTGTCCGAATGTGCAGAATATTTCCTCTTTAGCGCACTCTTTGATGTTACGCCATTTCGTAGGGGTGTCCAAATGTCCAAGAGAAGATAGATGTGGGGATCTCATAATTACCCACAATGCACTTGGAAAAGTGAGCATCTTTGGTCACTCAACAGGTTTATATAGACCACAATGCAATGCGAACAGGAAAACAACATAGTGCACGTGCCAATATCGAAGCGAGACAGTAACTGACCACGGAAATACTTTGATTTATTTAATTAAAAGAATATACAACAAAGGAAATATGACAGTAAAAAGTTTGTATTCACAATAAGTAGTCAGCGATCTCGATGCGCCACTCCGTCATGACAGGTATTGCCAATCAGAATGAGCGGTCTCCTAGGTGGAATGGCCACTTCAACTTGTGGCCCAAGCTAGTTCCTGAAATGTCCAGTCAAGATCCCTTGGTTTTAGAAGGGTAACGATAAGGGAATGAACAACTATTTTCTTTTAACAAATGTTCACTCAACATTTTTGTGTGTGTGTGTGTGTGTGGTCAAGTGGAGGAGGTGGAGTCATCTGTACCAGACGCTGTGCGATGAACGGCAGTGGCGGCGTCTCTGCGCCTCCGAGTGGCAGACTGAAGATCATCACAGGTAAGCAACCGCGTTTGTCCCGATGAAAATGCAGATGATATTTGTCATCGTGACGCCTGCGGTTGTACACACATGCAGACGAGTGGCGTCAGGAGGATTGTCTGACCCTGCTGGAGAGAATTCGCAGCCTCCTTCCCGACAGCGACGCCATGAAGTACAAAACCACAGAGTCACACTTCGACTGGGACAAAGTCGGCTTTGGAAGCTTCACAGGAGAAATGTGTCGGCAGAAGTGGAGCAAAGTGTCCACTGAGGTAGGTCCTCTTCATCCTTGTTTTATTGTTGCTGTAGTTTATTAGTTTACTTTGCGATTATTACGCCCCCCCCCTTTAAATCAGGATGGTTATGTTGTGTAACATTGACCAATCCCATGTTTTATTGTTGCTGTAGTTTATTAGTTTACTTTGTGATTATTACGTCCCCCCCCGCCCCCACCCCCTTTAAATCAGGATGGTTACGTTGTGTAACATTGACCAATCCCGTGTTAAGGATAGCATCTTTCTTGCTCGCTCAATATTGCCTTCTATTCCTTTTAATTATTTAGGCGTGACTTTTAGTTTGGACTCAGCCTGCTGTCCTGATTTCGAGCAGCCCAAAATGGGCAGTCAGCACAAGAATCACATGAGGCTGTCACTCTATGATGTGTTCGCTTGTGTGTTCAGATTTTTGAAGTCATTCTGACGTCATTAAAAAAAAATAATAATCCCAAGGTCGCCTTTGCATCTTTGTCATCTTCAGGTGCGCAAGTATAGAACCATGACAGAGCTCATCATGGATGCCATTGAGTTTGTGAAAAATCCTTACAAAGGCAAGAAGCTCAAGGTCAGTCTCACTTTGCATTTTTGGAGGGGCTGGAACTAACCATCCTCTTAATAATCGGTTCATCTGTTAATCAGATAATTGTATTTTATTTTTTCCCCCCCAAATTGACAGTGCAGAAAATGCACAAACATAAATTGACGATGAGTCTCTTTCTGGTTTCAGAAAATCGGCAAAACATTTTTTTTTCCACGATAAAAGCTGATGTTTGCAAATGTCTTGGCAAAAAAAGTCCAAATCCATTTCGCATCATGGATAATGACACGAGACTGAGAAATTGTGTTGAAACTGTGAAATTTGATGTAGTTGAACAATTTGAACTTGATAAATCTCTCCAAAAGATTAGTTGATTATCAAAAGCATTGTCAATCATTTTGCTTGATAATGTCAAATGTGCGGCATTTGACATCACGGTTGCCAAGTTGTTTGCGCATCTGCACCACAGGTCCAGGCTTTAGGATTTGAATCTGGTCTCTAGGCTTCCTGTGTGGAGTTCACATGTTTGCCAGAGTACCTGGGAAAAAAAAACCTCTCCGGGCACTCCGGTTTCCTCCTACATTCCAAAAACATGTTCCTCTTGTGATTTGTGTCCTCGCACCAGACTCATCCAGATTTCCCCAAGAAGCCCTTGACGCCGTACTTCCGCTTTTTCATGGAGAAACGAGCCAAGTATGCCAAAATCCACCCGGAGATGAGCAACTTGGACCTGACCAAGATTCTGTCCAAGAAGTACAAGGAGCTGCCCGACAAGAAGAAGGTCAGCATGCATCCCAACCTCGCCAAGTAATCGCAACAAAATGCAACAGCCTGAGAAATAATGCGCGTTGGTTTTGTTTTGTTGTTATAGCAAAAATACGTGGCAGAGTTCCAGAACGAGAAAGAAGCGTTTGAGAAGAACATGGCTCGATTCAAGTAAGGCAGAGGAAAAATGTGATGTTGCTCTGGCACTTGTTGACAGTTACCTTGCTGTCGCAGACATGATCATCCCGAGCTGATGGAGGAGAGGAAAAAGTCCGACCTACCGGAGAAACCCAAAACTCCTCAGCAGCTTTGGTACAACCATGAGAAGAAGACCTACATGAAGATGCACCCCGAGGTCAAGACTGGGATGAACAATAGGGCCCGATCAATGTCGATTTTTTTAGACTGATGCCATTTCCGTATCACCCAGGGGAAAAAATCCAATAATGTTTAATTGGCTGATTAATTTAAAAACAAAATAATGAATGAAATAAAACTTCAGCCAATTACCATCATTTTTTTAAAGTTGAATTGGTCGGGCTCTAATGAGGACGATGCAGATGATGGTGATGATAAAGGTGCTGCTTTGTTTCCAGGTCAGTCCAAAGGAGCTGAAGGAGGTGTTGAGGAGACAATGGTCGCAGCTGTCAGACAAGCGAAGACTCAAGTGGATCAGCAAAGCTTTGGAGCTCCAGAAGGAATATGAGGTAATGCAACACAACAACAATAACAACAAGAAGAAGCGTGCTTTGACCCTTTGCGTGTGTGTGTGTGCGTGCGTGTATGTTCAGGACAGCATGCGAGCATATCACGAAGCTCACCCAGACGTCAGCTCAGACGATCACGTCCGCTCCGTCCTCACCAAAGCAGAAAGACAACTCAAGGACAAATTTGATGGACGGCCAACTAAACCCCCTCCGTGAGCTCCCCCCCCCCACTGTCATTGTTACTGTCATTTGCTTTCTCCATAAGCGGAGGTGGTAAAATGGATTAAAAATCTGTTGTTGTTGTTGTTTTTGTCTCCCCCCATGAGATTTTCTTTGGCATCCTCATTGGTTGTGATGTTTTTTGGTTTTTTTTTTTTGTGACAGTAACGGCTACTCGCTATACTGCGCCGAGCTGATGGTGAACATGAAGGATGTGCCAAGCACAGAGCGCATGGTTTTGTGCAGCAAACGCTGGAAGATGATGACCCAGAAGGAGAAGGACATGTTTCAGAAGCGCTGCGAGCAGGTTTGGAAGCGCCGCCCCACTCGCTGTTGCTACAGCGGCCAATGTAGTTGTTTGACCTTGCTGCTGGTGTTTTTCCTCAGAGGAAGAAGCAGTATGACGTGGACCTGCAGCGGTTTCTGGAGGTGGGCCTCTCTCCATCTTGCCTAGACAAACGGATGTGTGTGTATTCATATTTTGATGGGGAAAAAAATATCGTCGGTTTACAACAAAAACAGGAATTGGGCTTGCCGTGCCAATACTTTGGGGAGGGGAGTGTATCTAGATATGCATCATAGCATCTTTATCGAATTGATCAACCTTTTTTGGGGGAGGGCGTGTCATTTGCCACTCATAAATTCCTGTAATCGCCGCACCCAAGCTCATTTCAAATGAAATTTCCACAAGAAGAGAACACGGTTTAGTAGCCGAGGCAACATTTGCTTGGGGTGTCACAGTCCTGTTGTCATGAAAGACGACAATGGTTTTGTTGTGACGTTCGATTGTTGGACACATGTTTCGCAGAGCCTTCCTGAAGAGGAACGAGACCGAGTTGTAAGCGAAGAGAAGCTGGGCGGAGCTCGGGTTCCGGTTGGCACCGTCTCCAGTCCGCACAGGGCCAAGTCACCACCCGTCAAGGTCCAAAACTTTGCTTTCCTATTCTGTGGAGGACTTTGTTTTTGTGATGTCATCCTGGTTTGGTTTTGTTCATTGGAGTGGAAGCTTCTGGTGTGTTGGGATGGGAAAGCTTGCGATCACATGACCCCAACATACTTGCCCCACCCTTAGGAGGAGGAGCCTGAGCTTTGGGCCCCCCAGGGTGCCAGGGAGCGGCGAGACTCCAAGAAGAGCGGCAAGCTTCCCGAGACCCCCAAGACGGCCGAGGAAATGTGGCAGCACAGCGTCGCCGGGGACTTTCTGAGCAAATGCAGAGTGCGTCCTCTCAACGGTTGATGGGGCAGCGGCATGGCCGCCTTTACAGTAAAAGCTTGTTTTTGTCTGGCGGCGCAGAGCGACCGCAGGCGAGCGCAAACGGCCATGGAGGACGCGTGGAAGTCCATGGAGAAGAAGGAGAAGATCCCCTGGATAAAGAAGGCAGCCGAGGACCAGAAGAGATACGAGGTGCCTTCCCTTTAACTTGGTCACTTTAGATACGTACATAGTTCCCTAAAATGGCCACTCCAAATCATTTTTTTGTGGTCTCACCGTATCACTGATGTTTGGTTTTCCCACACAGACTCTTGCTGTAAACTGAGATAGCAGAAAGCGCTGCGACTAACGATTAGTTTCAAAATCCATTTATCTGTCTGTATTGTTATTTTTTTGATTGATCAATGAATTGGATGACAAATTCCATCCCTTTCTTCAAAAACGGATATTAATTTAAATTGTCAGTTTCAGAAAACGCCCCAAACATGAATTCAGTATGATTCAATTACTGCCGTGGTCCGTAACAACCGTCCAAAAACTTTCTGCAAAAATGTTGATCATTGTTTTCCAAAGAGCACTAGAAAGGGCAGCCGTGGCGTCACACCAGCTGATGATGTCACGCTTTGTCACATCACACAGAGGGAGCTGTTGGACAGGAGGCCGAGTCAAAAGAAGCCCAAGTTTGACGGAGAACCAAAGAAACCTCCGGTGTGAGTGCACAGGAAGGGGGGAGGGGTCTGTCCCTCTTCAGCGCCGAGCCCCCGTCAACCCACCGGCCTTGTTGTCCAATAGGAGCGGCTATCAAATGTTCTCTCAGGAGCTCCTGACCAACGGGGAGCTGAACCACTTCAGCCTGAAGGAGCGAATGGTGGAGATTGGCAAACGCTGGCACACGCTGACTGCGAACCAGAAAGACGCCTACAAGAAACACGTGGACGCCACACAGGCGCGATACCGTGCGCTGCTGGAGGCGTGGCTTAAGGTACCGCAGACCCGTTTGGCCCGGTGAAGCTTGGTTGGCCGACCGACAGAGGAACCCATCAATAACCGCATGCTGCCGCTTAGTCTTTGTCTCCGCAGGATCGCGCCGCCTATAAGGAATTCTCCTCCTCGGTGAGTCGATAAATTCCCAACTTTATGTCTTGCCACTTGTTTCATACATCCTCCTCAATGGTCTGATCTGTCATGTTTAAAAGCTGCCCGTCTGCCCACACTCATTCAACTTGTAAACTCTTCATCTCACACCCATTGGCGGTGGCCACAAGCGCACCCCAGGGCTCTGTGATGGGGCCCCTTCTTTTCATCACATATTAGCATGTCTTGCCTCATAGATTGACTTTCTGAACTTCAATTCCTGGTCGAGGACAATTTATGTTCAAGTCAACCGCAATAAAACTTTCTTCAAGCTTCTCAATTGCCATCGACAATTTTCCTCGTTTTCCCCTCTGTTCTGCTCAAGTTTCAGAGTGTGGGTGTCGCCTTACGTTTCAGGCTGTCATAATTAACTCTAAATACTCAGCCATATAATCGTAAAAAAAGAATGAAAAGCAGCAGGGTAGTCTTTTTTTTTTTTTTTTACTCAATTTGCAATTGGCTGAAGTTTTATGTACACTGTTAAGTCAATTGTTTTGTTTGACCATGTCACAGAAGCGTCGCAATACGTCAAAAGCTAGCAGTAGCCCACCCCCAAAAGTGCTGGTAACGGCCAAGGGCAAAGCGACGGCCTCCAAGATGGCACCCCCTGCCGTGGCCAAGCGGGCGATGGCATACCGAGCCAAGGTAACGCTCTGCGGGTTAGCCATCAAGCTCACCCATCAATTGCTGACTGGTCGCTTGTGTTCACAGCAGGATGTGGTGTCCGACTCGGAAGACGATAAGAGCGACTCGTCGGATGACGACGATGACGAGGATGAGGATGAGGAAGATGAGACATCTGGAAGCAGTGACAGCGAAGACGAGGTAATCTTTCTGATGTTTCATAGCCTTCTAATCATGAAGTGACCAGGAAACATCTGGTAAAAATACCCGATACTTTTACTCCTCAAGTACATTTTAGAGCCTGTACTTTTTTGCTAGAATCATTATTTGAATGTGTACTCGAGTACTTATACAAAAGCAATTGCACTTTATGACTCAAGTATAGAATGTGAGTATGTTTTCCATCTCTTCTCAGCAAGACGAGGACGAAGATCAGACATCTTCTGACCAATCCAGTGACTCAGACTAGCTCCGGCTCCTCGTTGGCATGGGGCTGTTTTGATCAGACAGGTGGGTGGGGTTTGTACAGGAATGGGAAGGTGTGTGCCTGAAAAATGGGATTAAGAAATAAAAGCACTTTTTTCCTTTGATCTTGTTATCGTCTATGACAACATCTCAGGCCATGGTCATGTGACAAGACCAAATTTATTGAATATAAACAATGCATTGCTTGATAAATAATCTGACCTTTCACCTCATCCATTAGCCATCATCCCTTGCTGCCATACACTTTAAAAAAAAAAAAAATCAAAACATGCGCTGTTACCCTGGATCACATGCACACATGATTCAACGTGCCACCGTCAACCTTTTGTCACATTTCCAAAAAACCTTTGACCAGCTGGAAACAGTCCAAAAAAGCAACAAAGCCAAAAGCATTGATGGCTGCACATCACGGCGGTATGTCGTAGAGTTTGGCGCGGAGATACGTCTTGACCTCCTCGATGCCGTTCAACTTCTCTAGCTCGTGGTAGGGCAGCTGCACCACATCACATCACATGACATGTCAGGATCCCTTAGCATCAACATGAGTATTATTAGCGCAGCTGGCGTCGTACCTGCAGGATGGCATAGCCAGCAAGACGAGGACGAAGATCAGACATCTTCTGACCAATCCAGTGACTCAGACTAGCTCCGGCTCCTCGTTGGCATGGGGCTGTTTTGATCAGACAGGTGGGTGGGGTTTGTACAGGAATGGGAAGGTGTGTGCCTGAAAAATGGGATTAAGAAATAAAAGCACTTTTTTCCTTTGATCTTGTTATCGTCTATGACAACATCTCAGGCCATGGTCATGTGACAAGACCAAATTTATTGAATATAAACAATGCATTGCTTGATAAATAATCTGACCTTTCACCTCATCCATTAGCCATCATCCCTTGCTGCCATACACTTTAAAAAAAAAAAAAAATCAAAACATGCGCTGTTACCCTGGATCACATGCACACATGATTCAACGTGCCACCGTCAACCTTTTGTCACATTTCCAAAAAACCTTTGACCAGCTGGAAACAGTCCAAAAAAGCAACAAAGCCAAAAGCATTGATGGCTGCACATCACGGCGGTATGTCGTAGAGTTTGGCGCGGAGATACGTCTTGACCTCCTCGATGCCGTTCAACTTCTCTAGCTCGTGGTAGGGCAGCTGCACCACATCACATCACATGACATGTCAGGATCCCTTAGCATCAACATGAGTATTATTAGCGCAGCTGGCGTCGTACCTGCAGGATGGCATAGCCCAGCAGCTTCAGGTGGCGGTCCCTCATCGCGCGAGAGCCCACCAGGACGCTGGAGTTGTGGCAGTAGTGCCACTTGTCGTTCACAGAGATCACCAACCTGAATGGGGACAGGCCGGCACGTCATGCTTGATGGCAGTGACACAAAAGGCAGCAAATAAATAAATAAAACCCCATCTAGAAATTAGGGAGTGCTCAATTCATCATTTCAGCCCTCGGGTCCCTTTGTAGATTTGAGAATCAGGGAAGAGTGATTGCTTGTGAACGCAATCAGTAATTATTCCAGACTCCCAAACTGTTGGATAGAAAAGTCGGCAGTCAAATGAAAAATAGGTTTTGAACACAAAAACAATGTGACTGCTGTGGTATCGTTACATCAGCTCATGGGCTCGGTACATCAAATTCTGGCTCCGTATAGCAAATCTTCTTAACATCTCAAAGTTAGTAAAATCTTTCTGACTCCTCATTGCATTTTGAATAGTTTGAATCTTCTTTCAAGGTATGGGTAATATATTTACAATTTGATTGGGACTCATCATAATTGTAGTCACAGGTATCAAACTGGAGATTGAGACAGCTACAATTCCATTGCAGTTATCCACAATTTACACATGGATATTGGTGGCCAAAATAGGAGAGTTGTGTGATGCCAAAACCCTTCACACCAAAATCCTGTTGCCGACGTGTGAAATGCAAATTTAATTTTCCGAAGAATTTTGTTGTGAAATGCTCTTTTTGACATGGCTAAGCTCAATTGGGTATCTGCATCACATAGCCCGTCTAGCTGTTCAACGTAAAGGTGAGCTGGTGTCAACAAAAACGATGTCACGCATAATGACGCTAAGGCAAAGCGTACCTACCTCCTTATTTGCTTGTCTTCCTGCGGAGGATTTGTGGGCTCCGTCGCCTCCCCTTCGGCCGCGGGCGCATGGCTTGATATCCCCGCCTCGTAGAAAGCCGTCCCCTGATCCGCGGGGGACCCCGCCCGCTCCTCATCCACCAGCATCTTCCCAATGGAGAACTGGAAGAGAGTGTTTGGGGGGGCTGCAGCAGCACCCACGCCCCCCGGTACTGCATCCCCGGGTGGCGGTTGTCCGTCGGAGGGGGGGCTGCTGAGCGTGGAGCTGTCCTGGCTTTCCAGCGAGTGGTACTCAGCCACTGGCACGTAATATTGGGGGCCCGAGTCCGAGGGATCGCCGCTGTCCCCGATGTGAGCGCCCCCCGCCAGGGTGTACGTGTGCTGTGGCAGAAAGGCCCCGGGCTCCACAGCGCCCCCTGTGGTCTCAGCCACTCCCGCCGCCTCCCGACTCCCTGCGTCCAATGCGGCGAAGGAAGTTGACAAGTCGCCGATGTCATCAACTTCCTGTGGAGCGCACACGGGGGCCGAGCCCGGAACCGAAGGTCCGCCCGATTGGATGGGAAGAACCCGACCTGACGAGTCCATCCACAACACGAAGTCTGGACAAAAATAGCAAGACCTGTGGTGGCCGTGCTGCGTGTACTTGATGCGTGTGGTGAGTGTGTATGTACCTGTGTAGTATCCGGGTGCAAGAACTTGGTCGCGCTTGTAGTTCTCTTCTCCGAGCAGCTGCCGCAGAGCCTCGGCCACGACGCCTTTATAACTGACATGTTCACACTTTGGATCAGTACTTGCAGGCCTACTAAGTGCAACGTTTGTTGTTGCAAGAATACGTTGCATGTGCTAGTATGTGGCAAAACACGCTGCCATCATGAAATAAGAACGAAACAGTCGTTATTAACCAGCCTGCTTACATGAATGATGACAGAAACTGTTAAGATGAAAATTGAAAGCTAAGGCCTCGAAAAAAAATTGATTTGATAATTGAGCAGTTGCCTAAATCAACTCATCATTGCATTTCTAGAAACGGCCTAAAAATGCCAGCCCACAGAAGTGCGGAGATGCCATGTTTTCAATGTCTTTTTTGAGAGTCACGTCTGTGTAGATTGCAGTGAATGGCTTGACTGAGTGACAGGTGCGCGCGCGTTACCTGTACTTGCGGTTGACCTCATCGGCCGTGAGGGCCTGGTGGAACATGAGCACCTTGAGGTCAGGGTGCAGGCGGGGTCCTTGGTAGTGGGGGTGCTCCAGCTGCAGGGCGGCATCCAGCAAGGACAGGTAGCGGCGCACGATCAGGGCGTAGGGGCTGTCTGCGGGCATTTGCGAGCGTTAGTGTGAGATCGCGGGGCTGGGGCACCGCAGTTTCGGGGTGGTACCCACTGGTGACGTTGCTGATGAAGGTGGGCGAAAAGACGCGATGCAGGACGGCGCCCGGAAAGCGGCCCAGTTGGAAGAGCGACATGAGGATGTTGACGGTGGCCAGAGGGGAGCTCAAGGCTTTGGACTCCAGAACCTCCTCCAGGACTTGGAAGAACTGGTCCTCGTTGGACGGACAGTAACTCATCCTGCTGAAGGGAAACACCAGCTTCTGGATCACCTGCGCGCACACAGGGTTACATCAAGTCACGCACAGGGGTCATGGGTCAGAGGACAGCTGCCGACCCCGCCCACCTTGCTGTCCAGATGCTCTGCCTTCCTGACCAGGAACTTGGCGATGGCGTCCAGTAAGGCCGTCTCCCGGAGACGATGGCGCGCCACGTACTTCGAGATAAGCGACATGGTGGCGGCACTCAGACCGTCCTCCTTCTTTGGAAGCTCATCTAACAAAAAACAACGGCACACAAACAGGAAAACGAAACAATGAAATGACTGGCCAAGCCAATTTTTGTCACTGCTATTATGCATAAAAGCACATTTTGTGCTTGTTTTTATTGAGCATCATGAGGTTTTGGACATCCCCAACCTCCCCACAATATTGTGACAATTATTGTATCATGAGGTTCATATCATGATAAAATTGTGTCATTCCTAGAATCTAAGTTTGAAGTGGCCAATCCAGGCTGTCATTTTTGTGCAAATGTCCTGTTGCTACTTTGCGCAGACAGACCTGCCAGGCTTTTGATGAACCTCTCCTGTCTGTTCTGGTAGAAGAGGTGAGAGCTGAAGATGAACTCCAGGCTCTTGTTGTTGGCTTCCCTGGCACAGGTTGCTAACATCTCGTCTAGCAGCGCCATCTCCTGGTCGCGCACGCCACTGACGCTGGCCAGCGTGTGTTTGACCAGACGTAGGATCTTCCTGAAAGGAGGCCGACCAGCATGGTTAGTTCAAGGCCGCATGTCACAAGTCTCTTATTTGCAAGCCTCCTGGAACCCCGCCCTTCCGGCGCTGTTATTGGCCAGATTGGGGATCTCGATTGTCCTTGATGCACACTAAGGAGCAACAAGTTGGGATGGAGGAGGTTGCAAATAAAGAACTGAGACGAACCAAAAGACTCCAGTGATCCTAGCACCAGGCACTTTGATGACATCACAACAAGCCGTTACCTGTTGGCCAGCACCTGCTGGGGGTCAGGAGCTGCCTTGTCGTCACCGTCATTGTCCATCTGGGCACTCATGCGCCGTTTGAGGCGGTAGTAGGACAGCAGCAGGAAGAGAGTCTGTGGGTGACGCTCTCGCTCCAGGTTCTTCTCCAGAGCCAGCAGGCAGGCCTCGGTGAGCGGGTGCTGGCTACCCGGGGGCAGTTTGATGCTGGAACTGAACACCATGGACACATCCTTCTGGTTGAACTGCACTAGGCGGCAGTGACACTCCGCCTCCAGCGCCGCCACCACTGGACAGTCGCCAGGGAGTCCTGACCCCCGCACAACACAAAGTCGACCACGTTAGCTTCCCAAAGGAATGGCAACGCTTTCCCCCAAAAGCCACACTAGCTCCGCCCCAGTCAGAGCCCTGACCTCCACCTGCTGCCCATCTAGAAATCCCAACGCTGGCCCTCATTTAAAGGTTGTTCGTGAAACAAGGGACCACCATATCATGTTTATTATTAAACATAAAGGAAACCTTAATTAGTCACTTCCTCAATGCCCCCCCCCACCCATATATTATTCTGGGTTGGACACTTACCAAGTGCTGCGGCGGCATAGAGGCAGTTGACAATGCTGAAGTTGTCAAAGTTGGCGCAGTCGCTGACGATGGCATCGCACAGCAACAAGAAGTCCTGCTGCTCCAAAACCTGCCGGCCGCATGCGGCCGATGCGTCAGTGCTGTCGTTGGGCGACGGTGGGAAGGGCGCGGCCTGCAGCAACTGTGCGATCTTGTGCAGTGCGATGGCATAGTGGTTGTGGGAGATCTTGGCTGGGTTCTGGGCCAACCAGCGCAGAACCTCGTCTGGGCGGCGCGAGCGCTCAATGAGTCGCTTCATGGTGAAGAATGTGTCGTAGCTCATCTTCTCATGGATGAAGTTCCATGTCTTTTTTTTGCCTCCCGTATGGGTGGAAAGGTGTGCGCGGGGCTGCCAATGGGGCGGCATCGGCGGCGTGGTGCCGGCCAGCGGCTGAAAGCGTGCTCCCTGGGGGACCGGGTATGGCGGTGGCGGCGGCACCCGGTAGTGATAAGGCTGAGAAGGCGGCACCTCGAGCATTGCCAGCCCTCCTCTTTTCCCAGGTTTGACTCCACCCCCTCCCCCAGCACCATATAGGCGGGTGGCGTACATGGTGGGCGATGCGGCAGTGGCGACTTGACTTAGGGCGTGCCAACTGGTGGACCAACGCAGCATCGTGCCGACGCCAGATCAACTGGATGCGCCACTGCGCTCCTACGTGGAATGACAACACTTTCTGTCACAAGGCAAGAAATGACAACACCATACTGTAACAATGCCCAGACTGTGCTTGACTCAACAGTCACATTCCCGACTCCCTAATCACTATAAAGGTTTTTTTCTATGAACTATTATTTAGTTTGGGCAAAACCTACTTAAAATCTCATATTTTGTCAATAGGGAGGCTGAATGTTGTCGGATAAAAATGGGGGTATCCATTTCAGTAAATCAGAAGGTGTGATGTGCATCCATGTAGTTAAAAAATGCCTGGTCAGATTATGGATTTTCAGTCCTTGATTTGGTGCCGAACACACAATTACAGAAAATATATAACTAAGGTCTGGCAAAAGTTCACAAGTGGTGCAGGTCTGGCAGGTCCTGGCCAAGAGTGAAGACCGTGTATGCTCTCTTGTTTTTCTCTACGCATGTGCGTGTCTTCCGGTGACGTCATCGCATCCGGTATTAGACCACTAAATAACAATCCCAAGAAAGTGATAAGGGAGTGCAGTATTTGATAAATCGTTGCAGCTCTAGGCTCAACTTTACGGTGGACTGTCCAAGATATCCATGTAGCGATTCGGCAGTAGGTAATGATGAATAATTTCGATCGCGGCGAATCATTCCCTACTAAGGGATTATCAGCAGATATTTTATATGGAATGATCCAAGTACTGTGGGGGCCTGCAGGGATTAAGTAGGAGGGAATAAAGGAATACTGTAGTTCCTTAGACTGCCCTGGATGTTGTGGACAGCTGCTTCTTCAACATCCGTCATTCAAAGTCATCAAACGTCACACCTGATGGCTGACTGTTAGCCATTAGCAGCGGCTACCAGCAGTCCACACAACGAACAGTTAGCGCGGATGAACCTACCAGGGGCTAACAGCGTCGTCAACGCTGTCACAACACAACGACCGAGTTGAAAAAAAGACAAGAAAAGTCGCGTTAGCTGCTAAAAGCGGCTAAACAGTTGACGCATTAGCATCGTCAGGTCCTCGTAGTCAGTACACAAGCACAAGTCGAACCACATGGAACAAAATCTAAACGGGCTCCGCCGAGCCCGCCTGCTGGCGTTACCTCATCGCTTGTCTCACAGCCGTGGCCGCTGTCAGTGCTATGTGACCGCGGAGGTAGGCAGCGGTCAGCCGTCTCATGCCTCAGGACAAGCCGCCGCGCGCACCGCCTCGGCTACCCGGCATGCAACGGCTGCCTCCCGCTAGCAAACGCTCAGCGGACGCCGCCGATCAGAGTCAGTTTCGCGTAAGTGACGTCTCAACGCACCCGAGGCACTTTTGAGTCCATTTTCTCCTTTAGTTGACTCACTTGAGAGCGGACTCGCCAAAGTTGGTGACGTCGCAAAGGAGTGCATTGTGGGGAGTGTAGTTCACCTAGTTGGTGAACGAGGCTGTGATGACGCTATTTCCAGCAGGGGGCGCTGCTCACTGCCACTCAGGCTTACTGCAACCGCTTCGAAAAAGATGTGTGGAGTAAACATGGCGGATTGGAACGATTACGGAACACAGATGTCGAACTTCACGAGTACCCCGTGACACCCTCTTCTTAGAGCTACTTTTTGAAGTCTCTGCTGCCGCCTTGGTCCGCGTGACCATGGCCCATCGCTACCTTCGCTTGTCGGCGAGCTGCAGCAACACGCTGCGACTTCTCTTGGCTCCCTCGCCCGCCACCAGCAGGCTACTGGTAGGTCAGGTCCCCCTTCTCATGCTAACTGCTAGCGTAGTGAACCAGCTGACAAATAAGACCGAAATCTTACGAACCACTCCCTTCTCAAACGTCATTAAAACGCAAGCGGGAGTAGGATTCCATGTCACAGTGCATGTGACGTCATAATTTTCAAGTGAAGAGAAGTTCAACCTTGTGTCGGGATCATATTGCACTAAGCTGCTCGTCTCCCTTCACACACCTCTGCGTCTTTGCACGTCTTGTTAACAAAATAATGACTGGTCGCTTATTGTTGGTCGGCCAGGTGTCAAGACGGCTTGCGAGTGGGCGGAGTTTGTTGAGTGAGCTCCTGGTGGCCTGTAGGAGTCTGACCTCCAGACCTCCCAAAGGTTCTTCAGCAGCAGCATCATCATCCCCCCACCCCCCCAAAAACTTGCACTTACGTGTTTGTTTTTCTCTGCAGGCTTTGAGAAGTATTTTCCCGAAAGCGGGAAGAATTCCAAGGAGACTCACTCTCCAGACAAAGGTGACCAACTTGGTCTAATTGTAAAAGCAGACACTGGTTGGGAATCACTGAAGTAATGTAGATGTGAAAAGTAAATATGTCAGCCCTTGTGTCAACTCTTGTTTTTGTGTCGACAGACAACAAAGCTGATGATACTCCGAAAGAGGTGGGGCCGTCTGGAGGGGGAGGAGCAGGCAGTGGTGGAGGAGGAGGTGGAAAGCGAGGAGGACGGAAGGATTCACATTGGTACAGCCGCCTGCAGAAGGTTAGTGCAGTAGGGCAGGGGTCCCCAACCGCCGGTCCGCGGACCGGTACCGGTCCGCAGGGCATTTGGTACCGGGCCGCACAGAAAGAACTTGCCTTAATTCCGTTTTATTTATTTCGGAATACGAAAGATGTTTTATTTTGAAAAATTACCGGATTCTCCGTTACATCCGTCTGTGTCACGCTTGACACACGTCAAGCCACGCTTCTCCGTCACGTGACCGATTCCCCTTAAAAACAAAACACCAGAGCTCGCAAAATGAGTAAAAAAACTGCTGGAGATTAAATGACGGCGGCCTTAAAAGCACGTTCGAGACAACTGGATTAAAGTTATGGCTGAATATTCTGAGATCGCCACAGTAGCACTGTTGCTATTTCCGACATGCTACCTGTGTGAGGAGGGGGTTTTCTGCAGCAACGGCGACTAAAACAAAATTACGAAGTAGACTGGACACACTTGAGGTGTCATTGTCTCCTATTACCCCGAGATGGGACCGTCTGGTTGCAGAAAATCAAGCTCGGGGCTGTGGTGAGTCGTCATTGTCATGCACTTTGAATTTGCGTTGTATCGTATTTTGAAGGCATTAAACATTACCATAGCGATCGGAGTGTTGCGGCCAGATTAGACGCTCCTTGTGTTTATTATTATATTTCGAAAACACCACAGTTTCCATGCAGCTCATACCATATTATTTTGTTGTATTATTTCCGCCACACCTTAAATGCCGGTCCCTGAAAATATTGTCTGACATAAACTGGTCCGTGGGGCAAAAAAGGTTGGGGACCCCTGCAGTAGGGCACCACCAGTTGGACACTGGAACTGACAGCATACAAAACATGCCGCGTGTCAGCCAATCAGGTGAAACACGTGTGTTAATTCTCCTGAAAGTTGGAACAGACATCACATGATCTTAAATGCTGATATCTTTTACAATCAAGCAAGTGATCAACATCCCATAATATAATAAAGAGAAAGAAAATGAGAACTTTGGTTGCAGGGCGACATTCCATGGGATGAGAAGGAGTTCCGGATGTACTTCTTGAGCGGCGCGGCCTTTTGGACTGTCGTGGCCTATTACTTCCTGTTCAGGGATGGAGGCCGAGAGGTCACCTGGAAGGACTTTGTCAACAACTTCCTGTCCAAAGGAGTGGTGAGGGAACGCCGACAAGGACAACATTGATGACGATGATGATGGCAGTGATGATGTCAACGGTGCTGATAACGATGCTGACCATGACGATGATAAAACATTGATAGTGATGACGTTTCTGATGCTAACAATGATGATGATAATGACGATGACAATTACGACAATGACGATACTGATGGTGATGACGGATGCCGATGACAGTACACTAATGACATTTGCGCTGCCGTGCGGCTCCTCATCTTTGTGCCGCAGGTCGACAGACTGGAGGTGGTAAACAAGCGCTATGTCAAAGTGGTCTTCTCTCCTGGGAAGATGCCCATGGATGGGGTGAGTCAGCCATCTTTTCGTCTCTGTCGCACCTGGCTGGTGTTTCCATTGGACGTGAGTCAGACAGCAAGTCTGAGAAGATGCAGATGGAGGGAGCTGGTGGATAAGTGAAAGTCCAATGTTGCTGTGGAAAAAAAAATGTCAAAGCAAGTTGAATGGTTATCAGTGAGACCAAGATGAACCATTTCAAAACCGTTTTCCATCATGGAATGTGCTTGCACAAATCTGCACAGCCTCTGGCGGTTTTGTTTGTACCAGTCGCATTTAAGATCATGTTAAATGGGAATCGTCCCATACAGCCACCATTTAAAGTTCATCTGATAATCCCAAATAAAGTTAAACTTTTCTGAATCCTTGACTGCAAATATGAGGAGCTGCCTCAGTGAAACTTATTTCATGAGGTGGCCTCATCGCCTCCTGGTAGCTTTTCAGATTTGGATGCACGATATGTAAAATAACATCTTCATAACTGAACAAATGGTTACACGAGCTTGGAAAATGCTGAATTTCAAATATAAACAGACAACACTTAACAAATGATGCACCGTATCTTCACGGCCAATTGGTGCACCGTATTAAAAGGCGTAGTGTCAGTTACGGGTGCTATTTCTGGATTTAACATACACACAAGATGCATTGTGTTATTGCACTCCGTCACGGTAAAACGTACGCTAGTTTAAACAATATGGTAGAATGCATGCACATTAGCGTATGTTTTTTAAAAAGGCACCTGCCTTATTAGGCGCCCCGTCCATAGACTTTTACGTGCGTCTTATGGTCATGAAAATACGGTAGTTCAAGTCTGAGTCAAGCACAGTCTTTTCCAAGTTCCAAGGTACCTTCTTAAGTAGGACTGTGTTTGTCCCCGCAGCAGTACGTGTGGTTCAACATCGGCAGCGTGGACACGTTTGAGAGAAACCTGGAGAGTGCCCAATATGAGCTGGGCATCGAGGGTGAGAACCGCGTTCCTGTGGTCTACTCCACCGAGAGCGATGGGTGAGGAACTTTAGCCTTGCATAGCCGTCTACTTGTCAGAGAGCCCCCATCTGAGTGAAACCAATGAAGGCAGCACAATGTTCATTGTGTGGTGCAATTTACATGAGTGGCCACAGCTCTGAGCTCCCTTGCTCTTCAGTGCCTGAGCCATCAAGGAGCACACTCTGCCTGGCTGAGGCCAGGGCCGGAGCTAGTCATTTGGAGATTTGAGGGCCCGAGGCAAACATACAGTAGAGTAGATCAGTGTTTTTCAAACTTTTTTGAGCCAAGGCGCACTTCTTTCATTGAAAAAATCTCGTGGCACACCACTAGCTGAAAATGTGAAGAAGAAAAAAAACAAAAACGCTTATTTTAACAATTAACGTGTTGTTACTAGAGCCGTTTTTAACATTGAAAAATGACGTTGTAACAGCTTGAATTGGAATCAAATGAGCACAAAGAAAAAAAGTATTTTATAATCTTTCATATTTATTGTTTCACTGTCGTCCTGCATTCATGCAGCGCAAATTCGCTTGTCTCTCGTGGTCGAAATACAAGGCAATTGGCTAGCTGTTGCTGCTCCCTAGCGGTATGGGAGGGTACTACACGATTACTTTCTGGGCGATAGACCTCACAGCCATACAATTTGGATATTTTACCGTGGCACACAGGGTTTGAAAAACATTGATCTAGCAGCATACGTAATCTTGATCTTTCTGCCACAGCATCAAAATCAGCTCTATCCTCTGTTAGACGCGCTTTCATTACTTGCACCAAGTTTGCTGTTGGACCAAGATTTAGCAGAAAAAACATCAATATGGAGACAAATACACATTCGTAAAATAATAAACTCAAGCAAATATTACAGACTTTAGTTGTCATGGCAACCTGTTGAAAACAGTACTCGTGCCCGGTACAATAGTAGACATATTTATTTTGCAAAATGAATGGAGGGCCACCCCGAGTCTACATGTGTCCGGCGCACGGGTTGCTGTTCGCGCATCCCTGCTGCAGATACACCTCAAGTTTGATGTGAAGAGTGTGGATATATTGCGCTTTCCGTTACGTCTTGTTGACGGTGTGTCTTTTTTCGGGACATCAGGACCTTCCTCCTGAGCATGTTACCCACCGCCCTCATCATCGGTTTCCTGCTCTTCATGCTACGGCGAGGCCCGGCAGGGGCGGGCCGGCCCGGGCGCGGCGGCATGGGCGGTTTGTTCAGCGTCGGCGAGACCACTGCCAAGATCCTCAAGGACGAAATTGACGTCAAGTTCAAAGACGTAGCCGGCTGCGAGGAAGCGAAGCTGGAGATCATGGAGTTTGTCAACTTTCTGAAGAACCCAAAACAGTACCAGGACCTCGGCGCCAAGATCCCCAAGGTCAGCTCGGGGGACGGGTGGGGAGGTATTGGAGG